ATAAATGCGTGAAAAAAATGTAATAAGTAAGAATATATATGTTGCAGAAATAAATGGAGCTTTAGGAATATACATTACATATACATTAAAGAAGAACACTATTGAATAAAAAAAAAACGGTTTAATTAAACGTCTACCATCGGTTATCATAAATTATAAAAGTGTTATTGGAAGAACAAAAACATGTATTGATTCAATTAAATGTCAAAATGTTACGGATTGCCACAGATATATGTACATAGTTAATTCAAATATGTGGTTGTGTCATCAACTTTAATTTTATTTTTTATTATAAGAATAATATATCGTCCTTAAGTCAATATACACTTTCGAGGGGAACCCATTTTGGTCACGTTGCTTTTTTCTAAGTGGAGGTGTTAAAAAGATATGAAAGTCACTTTCACTTTTTTAAATGATATTATGATTTTTTATAAATATGATTTCTCTACTTATGTATAAAAATATTAAGTATGTATAATATAATTCTCTACTTTTATGTATAAAAATATTAAGAAATATAATTGTCGAAAAATCAATAGTTTACAAGATATTTAAGTTAATTTATCACGTCCATATAACGACGAAAGATCAATTTTAACTAAATAATTAAAACTACCAAAAATTCATTTTCCTCTTTAAGAAAGTGTGGTGAACCAAAACCACAGATAAAATAATAAGTAATGTCCCGTTTGTATATCATACTAATTTAAAACAGCTGCTACATTTTTCCTCTACTAATCCCGAATAAAGCTGCTTATGCAACGAATAATTAACACTTTATTCTGACAAAAAATTTAGTCAAGGAGATATTCGAAATGATGTCCTCCGATTTCAATACAATTTCGGAAACAATACATAAATGATATTCTTCATATTCTACATTTTCTGCTCTTTCTAAATTTATACTCGCATATGCTTCCAAAATACGTTCTTTCATGTTCTTTTGTGTAGTTGGTACACATAATTGAAAACAATGTTTTTCAACGTTACTCAAACAAAAAAGTCAATGGAATTTAAATATATTGAAGTCGGAGGATATTATTTTGAACATCTCTTAACTAAATTTTTTGTCAGAATAAAGTATAAAATATCTCGTAAACTATTAATTTTTCGATAATTATACTTTTTAGTATTTTTGTACATAAAATAAATAGAGGAATTATATTTATAAAAAAATCATAATTCCGTTTAAAAAAAGTGAAGATGACCCTCATATCTTTTTAGCGCCTCCACCTAGAAAAAAATAACGTGACCAAAATGTGTCTCCCTCGACACCCTTCCACTTTCATCCGAATCATTTTTCCGTATCATCAAAAATAAGTGAAATATTTAAGGTGTTCGATTTAAGTGAACTATTCTGTATAGTGATTTGAAAAACGTAATTGTACAAATTATAAGAAGCGTTCTTACGATTTAGCGTGTTTTTAATGTTATTGGTTCCATGATCGCACTTTGCTTTTTCAATAAAAATGTTGCGATTAAAATCAATGACAAGTACACTTAATTGCTTACGTTTGTGGCAGATTGTGATAACGACGTTTAATCGAATCAATGCATTGTTTTATTCTTCCGACGGCATTTTTTCCGTTGGAATATGGTGATTTATAATACAGTTATAATTAAAATAACCTCGGTGTGATGTTTTCTCTGAGAAAGTATTTTAGATAAATCATAATTCAGAGGTGTTATTTCTGTTACATAACAACGGATTAAAATGCAGCTCACAATGTCTCTCTGAAAAGGCAATTTTCAAAAAGGCGAACAACTGGTTCTTAAAGTTCGTTACATAAGCAGCTTTATTCGGGATTAGTAGAGGAAAAATGTAGCAGCTGCTTTAAATTAGTATGATATACAAACGGGACATTACTCATTATTTTATCTGTGGTTTTGGTTCACCACACTTTCTTAAAGAGGAAAATAAATTTTTGGTAGTTTTAATTATTTAATTAAAATTGATCTTTCGTCGTTATATGGACGTGATAAATTAATACATGGTTAATGGAGAAGACAATATTAAGTTATCGATTCAGCGATTAACAACCAAGATACAGATAACACGCGCACACGATGAAGAAAGACAGACTTGTTGTGTTCAATTTATCTATTATAATTCCGAGTACGTCTGATGTTATGACAATCGGAATTTTTTTCTGCGTAAAGATACATTGAATGATGTCCCTTTATATTGGATAAAATATATTGGATAAAATATGCGATGAATTTGCTGGTTTGCATCTTAAGCAAAATTTAGCGGAATATATTGCAATACCCGAACAAAACTAACCCGCTCGGGTTACACATCTTTCTCCGACCTTTCCTTGAAAACTGCATTTTTTGCCGCAGAGGATGAATCACGGCTCTTCGTGTTTGAATGTGTTTCGATACATCAGGTGTCGCGTCGGCTTTCAAACTAGCAACTACCGAATGCGATCGATGCACGAACACCTGCGGTCGGAAGGAGTCGAGCGGTGCCTGGGAAAATAAGTAACGCACATTAACGATCTAATGCCCGCGACACACGAATATCGCGAGTCACGATTAACTATTTGCGGTATTGTCGAGTAAATACACACTTTCGTTCGCCGATTGACGGTTTCATAAAAATAAATTATCGTCGTTGGAACAGTTTATCTCGACGAGATAATCAAAATGACACAAGATATATTTTCAGGCTCTTCTCTGCGGAACTTCGACGAACCTGCAGATAGCGGAATATACGTGTACAGTTAAAGCGCGAGATATAATTCCACTGTGATATAATTCCTCCTACTCTTTTATAATCCCGTAAAGCAGCATTATTTTGCTAAATAAATATAGCCTGTTGGTGAAATGCACGTTTATAACTTACTAAATAAGTCTCCTACTTCATGAAAAAAATAGACGTACTCATAGAAACGTATGCATTTGCGTAGACATCAGACTAGTCTAGTATTATTAATATATCATATTAATGCATCCTCATTAATTGTAAAAATGCTACGTAGAAACTGGATAAGAATTTGATAGAATTTTATTCAGTGGTTTACCGTATAAATATAATATACGGGTCGATTTTTTCGAAGATAGTATCAGTAATATTAGTTCAGTTCTATACTGTAAAAACTGATGTGTTAAATTTAACACATTTCATGTGTCCCAAATCATCCACTCTCATTTATGTGTAAATTTAAATCATCCACTCTCATTTATATGTAAATTTAACACAAAACAAATGTATTAAAAAGTAACACGCATAATATGGAAAAAATTAACACAAGAATTTAACATTTGAATACCGTTAGGAATCACATGTTGTGTTAAATTGACATATTTAATATGTCAGACATAAATTATATCAATTTAACATTTTCATTTCATCAAAATCATAGATTAATACTTCTCTCAAATGTTAAAGTAACGTTTTATTTTAGTTAATTTAATATTATACATATGTCAATTTAACATAAACTGTGATTCCTGACGATATTCAAGTGTTAAATTCTTGTGTTAATTTTTTATATATTATGCATGTTACTTTTTACCACATTTGTTTTGTGTTAAATTTACACATAAATGAGAGTGGGTGATTTGGGACACATGAAATGTTAAATTACATCAGTTAATGAAATGTTAAACACATCAGTTTTTACAGTGCATAATTGTGTCATGTAAATGTCGAAAAACATGAAAACATGTATTACGACCCAAGATTTCCTGCGTTATAACTCTCATTAGCATTAAAAATTTTCAATTAGAAAGCATTGCACAAAAAATGAAATATTATTTTAGTAAACCTGCTCATTTTACAAGCAAAAGACTTGATTATTAATTAATTGAATAGTTTTTTGTACATTTACTGTTGTTCTGTTTTAGTTCGATAGATGGGTTCAGACTTTGCTCTATAATTATGTCATGTTCATCTTTAGTGCAGAATAACTGTAAGAAAAGCATTATATCTTGATTGGGATTCTAAGTTTTACTTTTTAGTTACTCGACAAAAATTATCATGTTAGTGTTCAGTTGCTCGAAAACTGCATTAAATTTTTATCAGAGCGTCTTATATGTAGAAACGGATTTCATGAATGGATCTTTCAAAAAATCTGAACAAATGATTTTGCTGAAACTTTGTTGTGCCATATATGCCACACCATGTGATGAAGGAAAGAACACAGCACGACTTGGCTAATGTCAGATTTCAATTGGGCTTTGTTTCCACGAAGACAATTCATTTCAAGCGGCAATGCAATAGTGCAGACACGAAATAACCTCATTATGTATGATAAATGTAATAGACAGTGTATTCCAGAATCGACAGAGTTACTGCATTATTCTTTATGAAATTTCGAGTTAGCTCAGCAGAGAGTGGAGAACATTGGGAAATCGCAGTGTTACTCCCTCTCTCGAGTTATGCTCCAGAAATTTGAGTAAATAATATGCCACGTGATTCGCGACTGCATGTAAAGTAGATATTCAGCTCTGCCAGAACGTTATCAAATCCAACGTGACACGACGGGGGACGGTCATTTTCGTCGGTAATGTCGCGATGTCGAGGAAAAATTCGAGTTTCCCGAACGCAACAGCGTTCACGTGCATGTTCCCCGTCGACTCCGGCACACCCTGCACTTGAATTCTCGCGTCAACTATAAAACCGTAATCGCTGATAAACAAACTGTTACGGTACTCGGTGTACGTGACGGTCTGCTGCGCTCTCTGGCGCGAAATTAACTCGCGGAAACGTTTCGGCTAAAAACCAACCTGGAGAGATATAAATCGATCGCGGAAACTAAGCACGAGCGCGAATGCATCGTCTCGCGCGTCTACGCTGAGCTCGTACCGCATCGTCCAAATTGTTGCGCCGCAGTCGCAGGCGAATAAATAAACCTCACGGTAACGTGCGTGCGTACACAGGCACCGAGGCAAAAGAGGAGTATGGGCAGACACGATAAAAAGATACCATTGGTACACAACGGTAACCCGATATTCCCGGCGAAACGAATCGCTCGAACCTGTCCGAGACTCACCGTCGTCCAGTGTTGCCAGAAAAGCGAAATTCTTCGCAACATGCAAATCTCTCAATTCACAATTGTTCAAATAAAAAGAGCGTCGTCACCGCCTCCTCTCTTCCTGTCCTCTTGTGAATTTGTACGAACACATTCTCGGAGCAATATTGAAGACGACATGTTAAAATTCCAAGTTGGTTACTTGGAGGAAATACACCTTTAAGCTTAGACTTAGATTACTCCAGGAGCATGATAAGCTGACATTCCTGTCGTCTGGAAATATATAAGAAATCAGAAATATTCAGCACGGATCGTGCGTGTATTTTACGAGGAGAAATTCATTTGCGAAGAACTACAATAATGGATCCTCATGGGATGCAAACTGTCGCAGTCCCCTAAAAATCTCCATGTAAGGATGCAAAATGGACTGTCCAATGCCTGGCCAGGTACTTAAACAGATATAGAATATATATTTTATACGCACATATATATGTATATATATTTTTTTTATGGAAAGTTGAAATATTTCTATTTAAAGACCAAAACAATAAAGACATTGTACATATTCTTTTTGTTTTGGCTATTATATACAAATATTTAAATCTTCACATAGAATATATGTGTATATATATTTTTTTTTATATTGGAGGTTGAAACATCTCTAAAACCTAAAACAATAAGAACACTGGGCATTTCTCTTGTTTTGTTGTTTATACAAATATTTAAATCTTCAATATAGAATATATTTTATTGTTATAAGTTTAAACATATGCATTTAGGACCAATTTTTCCAACTTCTTGGTAAGCTAACAGTTAAATCATATATCTGTTTTTGTTCTTCTCCTAGACAAAAACAGTCATGATTTAACTGTTAATTAGCGTGACCAAGAGATTGGAAAAATCGACCCTTAAAGACCAAAACAATAAGAATGTCCGGATTGTGGCACATGTCCAGGCATTGGTACTTTTACCCCAACGTGCTCTCCGCAGCATGAAACAATCCATTGAAAAACCTCCCTTGAATGACTGATTCAAACAATTCCAATCAAATTGATCTGGCAACATCGCTCCCGGCGGCGGTCATCCCGCGCCCATACGCGTCGTATTCGCGGTGCCTTTCGCGCCGGGTGTGGGCGAGAAGGTTCTCGCCGGGCGCAAATGTCCCTCTCTCTCTTCCTCTCGCTCCCTTTCTCTCTTACCTTTCGAAAAGCGAAGAGATCCTTCTGCAGCTTCTGCCGCTCGGCCGTCGGCTGCTGGCCCTTCCCTCTGATGAACTTGAGCATCTCGAAGCTTCCCCGTTGGCCCGGCTTGGCGTTTGTCCGCGCGACTCTTCGTCCACGGGGTCGTCTCCCTCCTCGCAGGCAGGTACGACTGGTATCGGCTCGTCACGTCACATGAATGTCGTTGAATGCGACCGGCGGCGTTACGCTGCCGCGTATTCTACTCGACGACGATGCGTCCTCGAGTGCGTTTGTCTCGCTCGCTCGCACGCGCACGTCTACAAGAAACACGCCCGCACACGTCAGTGTGTTCCTTTCTGTGTCTCTTTCGAATCCTTACTGCGTATCGCCTTTCCCACTCCGCGTCACCGTTGTCGTGTCGTCGCCGTCGCCGCGTCGGTCCTTCTTTCTCTTTCACTCACTTACGCTCGATGCCGATGCGCCCGCGATGTGTCTGTCAGCCGTGTACCGCCGCGAGTGCGCTCGCCGCAGATGCTTGCTTTGCTCGTTCGTTCGGCCGCGCGGGCGATGATCCGGCAAGGTGGTGCGTATTTTAGGGCCGCGACGAGACGTGCGATGCTGCGGCGGTGCGAATCGCAAAACCGCCGAAAAAAACACGCACGGACACTCTCCACGTCGCTCACTCGCTCACGTTCACTCGCATCTCTCGCCGTCGTGTCGCGTCGCCTCGTTCGCTGCCCGCCCGACTTCGGCCGCGCTCGGCTACGATCGCCGCCGCTCGGCATCGCTCGAGCGCGCGACAGTCGGCGGGCGCGTCCGAACGAACAATGACCTCAGAATCCGCCATTGCCAACCGTGGTCGAGGAAATCGTTTGAACGAAGAGTCGTTTCGCTCTCTTCTCGCCTCAGCTGCGGATATTTGCTCTCACGGAGGCTCCATGTTCCGCTAACTGGATATCCTGTCGTTTGAGCGAAGAAGCACGCGTGACACACGGTATTTAGGTATGTGGCCGTGTTTCTCTCTTTCTCTTTCGATACGACGAAGAATGCGTTCGCTCTGAAACGGCCGCCGTTGGTTGCGCGAATAAATCCGCGCCAATGATACTCGTAATTTGCGGCCCGACTAATCGTGTTGTCGTTCTCTTAAATCACTGACACATCCGCGACACATTCAGTATTTCCGTAGAGAGTATCGCGGGCTATTATGTCGTTCTCTATCCGGTATTTGCTCAAGGATTTGTAGCGGGTTTTGTGTTTGAATGTTCGAATATCAACGTACTCGCCGTTACCAACTTTCCCGCTCGAATGCGGCATTCTTTTCGTTTCACGAACGACGCGAAATGCTCAAAACGATTTTCCGTACGACGATATGTCATATCCGCGAAACGATGGTAGATGAATATTTATGTCGTGTATTATCGTCAGAGCGAAAAATATGAAATTTCAAGTTCCAACAGTGATATTAGAGTTCGAGTACCACTCTTGTGGTTCCTAGGTAGAACAGATAGTCAAAATAATATCAATATGATGTTATTTTGACCAAAAAATGACGTAAATTTGGTCAATATTTAATCAAAATGACGCCAGATTGACATTATTTTGACAATCTGTTGTATCTGGGTTGTGTTAGCCGAAGTGTCCATCGGTTTCGACTGTATAACAGATACTCGTACGTGTATGCGGTGTGGATACGCTGAAAAAACGCACTTGTATTATATTCATTCCAAGCATGTAACAGGATGTCACGCACTCGAGATTCCGCAATTTCCTGCATGAGGTTCACGACTTCCAAATCGCTCTTTAATACTTTGCTCGCGACGAAATACGTAATCATAAATTCTATCATATTTGAGCGATACACACATGAAATAAGTTTTCGGGAATAGTGAGGAAATTTAATAACTCGAGGGTGTAAAACGTAAATTTTTAGTGTCATATATTCAAAGCTCTTTAGATAAGGAATGTATATATATTTCCAAATATGTTAATTACTTAAGTATAAATTGTCTCATTTACAAAATATAAACAGTTGGACGTATTCAATAAATTAATATCTATATATGGTAATATTATATTAATATATCACGTCTTTTTGATCAGGTAAAACAGGTAGTACATATATTCCAAAAGATTGAAAAATACGAGAGACAATAAAAGACTAGTTGCGATTTAATTTCACTTTCCTAAGTATTTATCGTATCTAAAACTTAATTAAAGATAACTCGTTTCGCGACGGATATGTCATATTTTGTGAGCTTAATGTTATGTATACACTGCAACAGTTTCTTTTGATACTGTGTGCATACAGTTTTTAAACCACAATATAAATTAAGCACCAAAGCTCATTCCACGTCATTTCAATACGACCTTCTCTTGATCCAGCGTTAGGTAGAAAATATATGTAAGTAAGACGCCACAAATATTCTGAGGATTTTGTTAATATTCTCGGTAGTTTTTAAATCGATATTGGCTCGATTGTCACCTGATTGGTGCCAAAAGGGCGGAAACGGATTCGGTATTATATGTAGAATAGGCACATCTGAAAAATATAATTCATAATAGAATTGAGAGACATACCCCAAATAATCCAATATAAAATAATTTGTGCCACAAAAATTATTCGCCACTTACTTCTTCTCATAAAAGGGATATGATCGTCTTCAATATGTGACTCAATGGAATATGGTTGAAAATATCTTTGCTCCGGTTTGCCGTACGAGTACGCCTCTAGTCTTCTTAATTCGGCTAATTTCTTCTCGATATTAACTAACAACGAGTACCATTTCTCGGTGTTTTTAAAGTAGTTGTAAAAAGTCGGATCTGGCGCACCGATTAAGTCAAGGAGGACTAATATATCCTGCAACAGAATATTATGTAAAGAATTATTATGCAACAGAATATTATTTAAACAGTAATTACGATTAATAATTAAACAGCTTAACATATATGTGACAATATACGTGACAACATACTTTTGATAACAAAAAAAGTATATCATATTTTATAAAAGATGCAGTCTTATATTTAAGATTGTCTTAAATTCATCTTTAAATACTCCATAACCAATAAAATGATCCACATAACATCTGTAGACAAACTTAAGACAATCTTGAATATAAGATCTGACTCTGTACATAGCTCTAAGCTAACTATAATTATCAATAGTAATATGCTTTTTACTATTTTATCCAATTCATTGATTTCATTTCCCCTGCCGTAAACACTTCTTGTACTATGCCATTTCTTAGCTAAATGCTTGGCACCATAAATAGAATCACTTGGACCCCATTCTTTAAATGCTTCTTCTCCATCAAAGAAGATAAACATCAAACTGACATCCTGCTGAAAATATATATAAAAGTTTTAGGAAATCCTATCTGATTTATCTGCTTCACACACATAATGTTTTATATGATTTACCTCTTTAATAATCTGTAGAAAATTATTCATGATAGTAGCTAAATTAATCAGTTGAGCACATGGCACAGCGCTATCTGTTGCCCCAACAAAGATTCTCTCCCTTGTATACTTTGAATCATAGTGACAAGCCAACACTAAATATCTTTTCGCATTAGGATTTAATGCTACTATTATGTTTTCAAACTCCAATTGACCAAACAGCGGAGTGTTAGCTTCGAATAAATCTGACTCCACGGTCCAACCAAGAGCACTCATTGACCTTTTGATATACTGAAAAAAAAGATGCATTTTTATTTTGTTTGTAGATAAGATATTATGTGTGACTGCAATATTAGAACTTTACATACATTTATACTTATAATCATTCATATGATATGTAAGTTTTCTCAAGATAAAGGTCTTTGTAATTGAATTTTTAATTAAATATTTGGTAAATATATAGAAAATATGATTTCATTGATTTCTTTTATAATAATACTTATTGCAGTGATGGCAGTAATTTGCCAGAAAAGTAAGTGAGGGATAATATTGGTTGTCGTATGATATAACAAAATAAAATATAACATTTGTTTTAGATATCACGAGCTGATGTTACGTGCAATAAAAACTTACATACAACATATTGATCTCTTCTTCACTTCCTAATCAGAAAATTTTTTTTATATTGTTTTAGAGAATAGGTTATATATATATATATATATATATATATAATTAATTAGCAACAATTTATTGTCAGCAATTGTTTCCACTTATTTCTGTGGCGATATCTAAACATATAATCTTTACAATATATTAATTAATGTAAAAAAAGTCTCTCTCTCTCTCTTTCTTCTTTTTCTATATATTTACCAAATTTTAAAATTAATTAATTAATTAATCACAATATCCTTGATGCGAGAAGGCACGAGTGTCATTTCCTCCCTACCTCTTTGACTCCAGCATGCGCAGGAGTTCCTACTACTCTGACTACACATATGTTGTCTAGAACCTCGTTCATGTGCGTAATATTCGTGAGGTCGGACAACGTGGTGATCTGTTCGATCGTTAGCGAGCTCGGTGTATGATAGTACTGGAATCATGTAACAATAATGACTCGTCAGAGCGGCGTACTCGGGTCGACGACGAGGCGATGTTCAGTACACGCATGGTGACACAATGGTGACGGGAGCGGTGAAAGTAATGAAGAAGCCTCATCTTCTCCTCGAAAACGGAGAAAGAGAATGAAGGTTAAACAAGCGGTCGCGTTATACGTTACATACTTTCTCGTTCTTGAGTGACATCTCCCTCGGGCCACTCGCATCCGCCTTGCATGGCGACGCGACGACAGCCAGGAAAACGCATAGTGCGAACTCGAGCGCATCCATACTCCGAGAAGAGTCGCGCGTCAACTGAGCGTCACTGTGTCACGGAGGGCAAGCGCGTCAGCTCGCGCCATCTTGACGTTTAAATACCACGCGTGCACGTGCTATGGGCTGGATTGAGCGTTTATACTATGTTTATTATGATACTTTGCGTCTATGTGTGGACTACGTAGCTATGTGTGAAATATCATTTATATAGATAATGTAATCTATGAATGTTGTTTAAAGAAAGCATGATTTACTAAAAAAATTAATTTATGAGGCAATATCTGTTTTGCACTGAGAAAAGAATTTACTAAATTTCAAAAAATGTTTATTTCGATAATACTGTGAAGGTATTTTTGTTTAAATTAAATAATTATTTTCTAAAATTAAAGAAATAAATTTACATGAAAAACTTCTTTATTTAATTTTGGAAAATAATTACTTAATTTAAACAAATATTTCTCACAGTACTTTCCAAACAAACGTTTTTTGAAATTTAGTAAATTTTGTTCTCAGTGTAGATATAAGAAAAATATGCGTGTTTTTATTTTACCTTTAGAATTTTAATGTAAATTTAGAAACATTGTTTTCTGAAGTTAGAGTTCACAGAAATTTCTTTGTTGATATTCTTACCTTAAAGTTAAATTTATCGCTGTCACATTATGAAATAAAAATTTCGTGCAACTTGTTATCCTGTTTAAATATTACATTTATAATTAATATCCAAACAGATACGGTAATTGTTTCATAATTTAATTATTCTTTTCTGTTTACAATATTCTACATAGTTTACATTGTTTACATTGTTTACATGACAAAAGACTGCGTATATATCCATGCAAACAATGTGTAAACAATCCGCGTAGATATAATCTTAAAATCTAAAACACAATCCTAGTCATACACATTCCAGACAGTACAAGATCTCGAGGGGATGTCCTGGGAACATTCTCAGGACGTAACAACATTTTTAAAATGTCTTTGCGATGTCCTGTAGAGATCTATGCTGTTTGAGATACGGATTAGTCTCGATATAAATCCTCACGTGCATTTACGAATTGCTACTTATCATTTAATATATATTAAACCTATATTTTTGAATAACTGAAATTTGATTGGCAACAGTTGATTTTGGAATTAGTATACAAAATTCACGAAGAAAATCAATTTGTTACATTCTGTCGCGAAAGGAAAATCTCTATTTAACCATGCGTAATCGAACGTCATACAGAGCTCGTATCAGGTTACGCAATAATAATTAAACTTGTGCACTATGATCGCGCATTGAACTTGGAATTTAATCAAGGAGAAAAAAATTGGTTATCACATACTGAATCATTTGATCACATACTGAACGCGTCATCATACAGCCTCAATTCATTGTCAACCTTCAATACTTATTTTTCATTTTATTTTGAATGATTTTTATTGAAATATCTCTTTGACATTCAATTATCAAGATAATATACGTCGCAAATTATAAGAATGCGAAAAAATGTATAGAACTTTATAAAAAAAAAAGAAGAAAATCCAGATAGCACAAAATATTTTATGAATATTTTTATAAAGTACAAATGTTTTTATTTTTCGAATATTCGAATCGGATATTTTATGAATTTATCATAAGCAGAGATTCCTATATATTTAAAAAGCAGAAAAGAATGTTCTTAGAATATTCGTATGATCTATTTACTGTGCAATGTAATTGGAAAATTTTCCAAATATTCCAGATAGCAATACGCATTTATTATAGCTTAGTAATAAAACGTATCTACGAAATAAAATACTCGAATTATTCTTTTATAACTATAAAAGAGAAATTGATGATTAATCTATATCTTGTGAATATTTTATGGACATTCATACAATGTTTATATAGCTGTCTCATTCGGATATACTGTGAACGTATTATGAACATATAACAGTGCTTTTGGTACATTCTTAGAACGTACAAATATTCGTAAAGAATATTCCTGTGCTATTTGGATATAGTATCACAATTAAATATGGAACTTGTGTATGTGTAGACAATTGTTGAATTAACACAAATGAAGGTGATAAAAGGTCTAAGAAGTGCTGGGAATGAGAAGAGTAATGAGTCGAGAGTCAAATTGTATTTCGTACATTCTGTTATTTGTTTTTATTATTTAACATCTAAGGTATCGTGAATTCTCACTGCTTTTAATTCTAGCTACCTGTTTGTTCCTTAAATTTTCTTATATTTATATTCATTTCTATATCCTACTTAGCGCTTTATCACGCAATTGCAGCCATTAACGGTAAATTTAATTCATAATATTTTTGCGATAATAATCAACGATTCTATGTTTCTCTTTTTACAAATATATTGCTGTTTTCTTGCTTACAAAGAGAAAGTCGACGAAATATAAATTAGAGGAGAACGTTGACGCCGTTTGCACGCGGAAATGGAAGACTCGAATAGTCGAACGATCGATTTAATTTATTTAAGGCAAAACGTCGTGTATGAAGTAATTGAAATATTTCTTTGCTTTTTAAACGATTTACATAGAGATATCGTTGTAATAGACCTTACAGATCGATGTTATCTGAAGAGAGCTACGTATTAAACGCAAACTTCGCGAATCGTTATCACGTAACGATCATAGCAGCACCATATATTATATAAACGTTTACATCTACGTTACACGCATGAGGCATGTATTACGATATCGCATTTGCCCGGGAAATTAAGTTTCAACCCTTTCTCTCAGGACGAATATTATTTTTTTCTTCATTAATCACACGTTCTCCAACGATAGATTCTCGCTGAAATTGTTTCGACACAGAGTGATTCAAAGGAGATCAGAATTGTGATTTCGCTCTGAATATATATCTGAATCATATCAGTCAGTCGATTCTGACTCTTCGTGTCTTAATACCTTCAGCTGAGATCTATCGTTTTTCCGAGGGAATTAAACTGAACTCGCGACGAACGGGGACGAACTCACGAGAATCGCGATTCGATCTTTTTCTTGCGCGATCTTAATCGAGATATTTATTTAATATTTGGTACTACCAAGGTGAGCGTTCACGAATATGATGCCGTATTCGCGTCGCCTTCCGCTTCGCTCGCGCGACTCGACGACGGCCGTCCTCTCTGCGAGATGGAGCTCCCCCTCGCGCGATCGCGTTAAATAAATAAAGGCAAACGCGGCGTCGACGCGAGCCAAGCTTCGTGGACCCGATCGACTTTCAATTACAAGACACGCGACTGTTCTTATCGAGCTTCCTCGGAGCGTGTAATGTCCGTTAAGTCCACCTGACAGAAGCCGAACGGACTCGACGGCCACCCGAAACGATCTCCCGTTTTTGCGCGAGACCGATGACGAATCATCGTTTTTGACATTCGTTTACGGAAATGTGAGGAAGCCCGGCAAACGGCAACAGCCAAACGCGAGCGCGAATTCGCGCCTCCGCGATTAACACGCGCGCGTGCGCGCTCAGAAGCATAAGAGGTGTGCATGAGAGAGGATGATCGATATCTTACTTATTTAAACTGGAAAAAAAAACAAGTACAAAATGATCTCGCTCCTAAGTGTAAGTACGGCGGATTTTGAGCAACCGTTTTGCGCAAGTCGAGCTCCTCCAGACGACGCGAGTGCTCCAAAATAGGTCGGGAGGATGTCCAAGAGACATCCTTAATCTCTCGAACGATTTCCCGGATGTCTTTTAGATCTTTCTCTCTTTCTCTATCTTTCTTTTGTCTGGATTTTTGCTTCCGATCGATTTGTCGCGGGAAGAGAAGAGCTTGCTTTTGCGTTTCATGACTACCATATCGAATATCCCATATTCGCAGTCACGTTTAAATTATAATTTCATTGATTGATTAATAAATTAAGTCTGAAATCGGACTAAGCAGTCACGACTCGAGTCGATCAAGGCGAGCGATCCCTTACGATCGCGACTGCAAATCGATCTCGGCGAGTCCCTTGAATTTTGCGGATATTTTTGATCCTCGTCCGATTAAGTGACGCGATAGAGAATGTTCGACAACGTTGGCGAGCGTGAACGCGCCCGGGATGCTTTCTTTCCTCCGACGCCGACCGGCCGAGTTCCTTCAGTAGTTATAGGGTCCATACTGAGAGCCGTGATAATACGGACCCGGGTATGCCGCCGGTGCTGGATATCCGGGGTACGCGTACTGCTGCTTCTGCGGGTACACTGGAAAAACGGGAAAGCAGATTAGAATCGACCTGGCTGCGTCGCGCATACTTGATAAGCGATGATTCCGTTATTCGCGGTATATGAGTCTCGATGAAGTTGTTTTCTGTTATTAATATAATTCTTAAACGGCGCAATTTGGACTTCTCGTTGCTGCGTATTCTCTCATCCCGACTGAGAAATTTAGCCTATGGCTCTGATCAAGTTGACCCCAATCAGTTATCTGGTTTGTACAAGCACGGAGAAAACACTAAAGATATCACTTGGTTAAATATGTCTTGTGTTGTCTCAACAAAATATTAATTAATATAAAAAAATAGGAAAAAGGGCAATTCGAGTTTAAGCACAGGACTAATAGTGCTATATATCATATGGGTAAAAAACCTTGTTAAGAAATCGTGTAATATTTATTGAACATGAATAATCAATATAAATAATCAATATAATTCAGACGTGGCGATGTTATCGTTGACAGGATTGGTTTACTTTTAGCTGAACTTAACAAAGTTATGACGGCTACTTCTCAATATTAATTAATTACTTAATATTATTTCGGTAACGGTCTTGTCAACTTGCGATTAACATTCATGTCAAGTTACGCAGGTCTTTAACTAATTGTAATGCGTTCGTGTCGTAAACTTTGAGTTTTTTATTATCACTGAAGAGGGTTCATGGTTGAGCCAAAACGTATGATTGTTTTATATTGATTATTCATGTTCAATAAATATTACACGATTTCCTAACACAAGGAAGGTTTTTTACTCATATGGTATATAGCACTATTAGTCCTGTGCTTGAACTCAAATTGCCCTTTTTCCTATTTTTTTTATTGATATCTTCGTTTGCGAGTTCTTATTTCTTTCTCTAAAAATTAATTAATATAAATAATATTTTTCTCATACACATAAACAGTTTGTAGAAACCATAGTACTCTGGAAGTGGTACACTGGCCTTCTTTACTGCTTGTTCATGTGTTCAAGCAGAGCTCTCAGTGCTGCATTCTGCTCAAAATGATGAATACAAAATGATAAGATTACATTACGTTTAGTTTGAATTTCAACGTAAATCAATTGTCATTATGTAGATTCACTTTGTTTTAGATTGAAATTCAGGCTAAATCCTATGTAATGTCTTCGGAGGTTCTGTATCCATCAATTTAAACAGAGCATGATGCAATACCGAATCCTACGGGTCTCTCAACCGTAATATTCGTTCTATAAACCACAACAGAGAGACAACAATATTTTTTTGAGGCAACTATAAAGATACTATGAATATACTGATTGAACATTACATATCATGAAAATAGAAAAGAGAACATTCTTGTTTGGAAAATATTTATTTAGGACACGTTAATCCTCAAATAAGATTACATAAAGTTAAATGAAGATAAATTACTTGAAAGAATATATTTTGTGATTTTTTTCAACAAAGAAAAAAATTTGTTATTATTATTTGGAAAGATAATTTTTATTATTATTATTTAAAGAGATAATTAAAAGCACAAAATATTGAATCGAGCATATGATGTTTTTAAATATCGGAAGAAGATATTATTATTAAAATAATCATATCGTATTTCTTATATAATCCTATTATAATAATTGAAATCAAATTGTAACATTATTGAAATTCGAGACTTGAAAATTCTTCTAACAAAATTATATATCGCTGCTTATATGTGCAACAATTATTGTTAATTTGATTAATTATATAATTATATATAATTATTGTTAATTATATTAATTTTTAGTGGATACTAATTTTTCTTTGCGCATATAACAACAGTAATGTTTAATATAACATCTATTTAACATGAATTCACATAGATATTTTTTTCTAATCATAGAAAATGTGGTTGTAACAAACAACCATAATAGTTTTTTTCGCGTGCTGATGTTATCGAGTCGCTGATGTAATCGTTAATAATCCTTATCGTTAATAAGGTCCTAATTGCTGTGTTAATGGGATAAATTTCTAGTCGGGATATCGTGAATCTGGTTGTAATATCTTTAAGGTAGAGTTCAGCGTATGAATGAGGGGAATCTACTCGATACATAATAAATGTAATTTGAAAATCTTTGGAAACTATGTTTACTCGCGATATAAAGTCGTGTGGAAGGATGACGATTCGATCGAAACAATGATTTACGTTATTTTCTATTTACATTCTTATTTACATTGGAGATAGAGGACTTTCCGATATCGCGAGACGGAACACGCTGTTTGTCGTATGCGTAAGTCGAATTCCGACACAGCGATCGGTCCGTAGTTGAATGCGTAAACACGGAAATTCTTTGTGGCAGGAGGCCGATGGGTGTACGCGGAAAATTAGGCAAGTGTGTCGCTTTCGAGCGACCACTTCGACTCTAGATATCTTTGGTTTTCCGTTCTTTTTCTCGGTTATTGTTAAGTCGATGGTTATCGTTGGGTTTATTTTAAACTATGTGAACATGTTGCCTCGAACAGTAACATCATTTGTTAAATTGGATTCATTATCCAAGGCAATTGAGTGATTTCGAGAGGATGGAGTCAAAAATAAAAAAGATATCTTAAACTTTAAGGGAGCAAATTACTTTTTCAAGAAACCAACAATTCGGAATTTATTTAAAGAGGACTACTAAATCAATATATTTAAAAATTTTACATGCGTAAATAAGAAACAATATTTACGTTTAAGTAAGATAACTTATTTTTATGTTTTGTATAAAAATGACGTCATAGCATGTGCGTGCATTGTCACTTCGAGTCTGCAGCTCCTTTGAAATTTACACGATTTATTTTTGTACAATAATCTGAAAAAGAAAATAAAGAAAGTTTCTTACAAAATAGTATTATAGTTACAGTCTCTCGGACTAAAATTTTTATTTTTAAAATAAGCCAAAAATTTCAATTTGAAAATAGAAATTCTTATCTGCGAAAGACTATGTGACTGCAATACTATTTTATAAGATACTTTACTCATTTTTTTACTGGACTATTGCATAAACATAAATTATGCAAATCAGGGAGACGTGCAGGAGTTGCAGGCTCAGAGTGGCAATGGACGTTGTAATGTTATTTCCGCACAAAAAAATTTAAGTTTTTTTTTGTTTAAATACAAATATTACTTAATTACTATATATTATTTCGTTTTTGAAGAAGTAATTTGCTCTTTGAACGGAGAATTCGAATATCAATTCGATCGAAAATTAGGTTTGATCGAGTGCTACATTATAAGTACTCATTTTAGGTACTCATTTTATAAGTACTCGTTTAAACAAATTTCTAGTTTTTCTCTCAATATCCTTTCAACGGAGAACTATCGCCAGAAAGATTAACTGATAATTCTATGTCACGAGGTCCTTAAGGCTCGAAACGGCGCGTGATAGATGTGCAAACGCATTCTGCAGCCTGACAGATCATCCGGAGGAGAAGTAGAAAGTTTCCTTCAGGATCAGAGCGTGACAAAATTACTTTGATCCATGACGGAAACAGAGCATGAAACGAACAAGTAAAAGTTTCGCGAGAATGAATATTAGATCGTTACCCTCCACACACGACACAGGATTATCAGTGCAGTTCGATAATCCATTTGCCTAATCTGCGCTCAAAGCCTCAACAGCTTTCACATTAATGTGCCATTACTATCATCAGTTATCGCTTATCGTTATTGAAATCCACCGCGTAATCGTCGCACTACGATACTTGTGAAAGATAATACTAACGCTGAAAATACCGCAAAATGATTTAAATGATGACAAAGTTCAGTTTTGCCGTTTCGTACTACACTTGTCTTTTAATTTGACTTCTTGATCTCCGACATCATACTCGATAGTTGCAATCATTGTTTTTCGAGAGCACAAGCTCGCTTTTTCATTTAATCATTAAACATTTAGTTTCAAGGAAAATCTAGCCTTAAAAATATCGGAATCTGAATATATATATATTTTTTTTTATTAATATATATATTTTTTTATGCTCCCGAAATATATATATATATATATATATATATATATATATATATATATATATTTTTTTTTTGTCGGTGCAAAAGCGTAAGAAGTAATTTAAATACTCAACTAACTAGTTATTTTCCACGCGATTTAACACTACCGATGGATTCACCTCTAGAAATTTACACAAACGCTATTTCTAGAATCTCAGCATACAATTCGCCGCTACTTCGAGTTAATATTTACCGAACTAGTTACCGAACTAGTGCCTTGATTTTTTCTACGTTTACATAGCCGTTTCATAATTTTCATAACGAGTTCTCGAAACGTTTCCGGATTTTCATAAACTGGGTTATTTTCATATAATTCTGGAACGGTACATTGATAACGATACTTTTATGTACAAGGCGTTACTGATACCGAGTCCTTTGGTTAAACAAGCGATCTAATCGTTCTCGTCCTGCCGTTACGCGTATTATCATTCGATTAGTTCACGACTGCTGTATGTCTCTAAATCTTGAAAGTATGTTACAACCGTTTGCTCTTCTGGATCTGCAGTTATCCGTAGTTAAGATTCTCAAACAACAGTTATTATACGAATATGTTTCTAGATAACATCTATGTAAATAATTGACCTATTAATGCGTAACTCGTGCTGTAACAATAATAGTTGTGCGTTAATATGGCAGCGCACTCGAAGTGGAAATTCGTCTACATGTTATTAAATATTTACAACAACACACTTTATATTTGTCTCTTGAAAAGTTGGAGACTAGAAAATTGGCTAATAACACCGTCGCTGCCGTATTAACGTTTCTCAAACGAGTGAATCCAGTTAGTATAATGACGAGATGATCGTTATCCTTGTATCAAGGAACGTGTTCCTTGCGATCAAGCCGATGAGATCATAAACTAAAGTTAGTAGAACACTCAGTGCACGCGGGATTTGACCAATGCGCGATGTCTCGGAATTTCTTTCGGAAAACAAACTTTTCTATGGTTTTAATTATAGCCAGGAAAATTCAACAAACGATTTCGGCGAGTTAAGCGACTTCATTGATGTTGATATTAGTTAATTCAGTTGCCATTTGAAAAGCACTAGAAATATTGGTATTTTTATCTGTATCTATCGGCTTACTAATGATACATTATATTATTTTACATATTCTCGTGTACAGAATATTGTAAGCAAAAATTACAATCAAAAATTACAATCAAATTTTTTAACCTTAAACGATATGGAAGTTATGATCAAAATTACTATGCATTTGTTTAAAACTGTTATAAATTTACTACAAAATTATTATAATTACTCGAATGTTTCTGTCGTATATTCGATAGATTGATCAAATTTACCATTTCTTTAGTAATTTATGTTACAATGTCGGTACAGTTTAGAGAAAAAGAGAGAGAGAACCTTGCGAAACATAAAATGAAGTATAATTTGAACGAAGTTTTTGCTACAACATTTTCTCCATGTACAACCTACATGCCATCAACCGATGATACGGATGGCACATTTATTGAACACACGAGAGTACCTTTTCAGGATCGATATTGCATCCTCAGAGATATTTATCGATACCGGGTATCAACATCAAGGCTTCCACACCGACAATTACATCTCGTGCGATCGCGTTAACCCGTTTGATCGCGCGATCATTCCGACATCGGCACGCGGCGCGAAACCACGTAGGAATCGAGATAATTCCCATGCGACTCGCGTGCACTCGCCGCGCAAATCGCCGAGTAGGTAGGCCAGTCGGCGAGGCCCGCGTGCACGTTCGAGTTCCAGTGGGCAAAAGCAATAGGTGTTAAATATGTACCAGGCATGAGGTACTGCATGTTCATCGCCTCCTCGCGCATTCTCTCGCCCCTCAAGCAAATCGCCGCGGCGATAAACAAGATCGCGCTGACCAACGACCAACCGACGCCGACCCAAGCGACCACGTACGACCAGTCGTACGAGATTAGTGAGTTGTCCTTCAGGACCTAGAGCCGCGTGCCGCGGGCGTACAACAAACAAAAAAAAGAGACACGAGCGAGTTAGTCCAGCCGTTTCACGGGTATCGTGTCACCTGGCATGATGTACTGAACGTTCTGGGCCTGCTCGCGGGCACGCTCCCTTCTCAGGCAAGATGCCGCGATCAGAAATAGCGTCATCGTGCCCAGACACGTCGCCACCCCCAGCCAGGCCAGATAAAACGACCAGTCGTACCACTGTGCCGTGTTGTCCCTTAAAACCTGTGGGCAAAGCTCTCTGTAAAATTGCACGATGCGCCTGCCTGCCAGCCACCGGCAGGATACTCCGTTCTCCTCGGCCTCATGGAGACGCGCGATGCGACCGATCCGATCGAGTGCCTGGAAGAATCTTGTCGTGATGCGAGATAAGCGAAATTTCTCTCCGCGCGTCTGTTACGTCTCTTACATTTCCGCATTCGCGCGATTGCGCTGGGAAGCATGCACTGCAAGGATCTGCAGTCCGCTGCGAAGAACTCTGCGTATTATTTTGAACATTATATCCGAGTATCGTCGAATATAACTTAATGAATTATTTTAATTTTGTTCACAAAAATAAAACGAATAATAATATCCTTATTTTACGCGTGTTAATATTCAAATGATATTCGTTGAACGAAGATAAGTTATTTACAAGAATATATTTTACATAATTCGAAACAGGAAAATTTGTTCTTATTATCCAAAGATAATTTTCGTTAACGGAAACCACGGGATATTTAATTGAGAATATGAATATGTTTTTAAACGACGGAAGAGGATATCATTATCACATCAAAATAATTATATCGTGTTTCTTATATGAATCTTATTATAATATTCAAATCAAATTATAACATTGTTGAAATTCAAGACTTTAAAATTTTTCCAACACAATTATGTACCGTTGCTTATATATGAAACAATTATTATTCATTTGAATATATTAGTTTTAAGTGAATAACAATTTTTTGTATTTGAACTTGGTGTTTTTTGTGACGTTTTCTGATTTTTACATCTGACTGCATCCTTTTCGCTTATCTCGCTTATCAATAACGTATATTTCTAAATCTTAGTCGATTGTAGTTGACTCTTAGGCGACCGTGCGAATAATACGATTAAAGAGAAGCAAAACTATAAGTTGAAGAAACAATATTCAATTATTCACTGTTCAGCATACGATATCGCTGCTAGCTCTTTCGGTCGTTCGCGATCGACATAATAGTCAACGACAAACTTCAAATTTCCGACAATTCAGGCGTTTGTCGGAAAAATTCATACGAATTTGATCACACTGAGGAAAAGATACTTGGAAATTTATTTGTGTGATACAAAATTTATTTCCGTGAAATAAAGTATATTTCTGAGAAATGAAATTTGTTTCTGCGAAATCAATTTTTGTCCTACAAATAAATTTTCAAGAATTTTTTTCTCAGTGCAGTAATAAAATCGCAGGAAAGTGAAACGTTACGTACAGGGCTCCATTGTTGATAATACTCTTCGCCGACAATTTTTTCCTTTTCATAATATTCGACCCCATGCCACAGGCCCATACCACCGGCGCTCAGTAAACCTATGTCGTTCAAAGAGATATTCCAATTAGTTTGTGAGTGAAAGGCAAAATAAGAAAGAGTGTCTGGAGTATCCCTTCAAAATATCTTGAAAGTGTATACTGACAGGCGAATAGCATCAAGATTGCTGTGGCGGTGATGTTTCCTGGTGATCTTCTCCAACAGCCCACCACTCCTGTCCAAAATGCGGAGAATATCGCGACAAAACCGACCATGAATAGCGCTATCACGGATCTCCCCATGTCTGCGAAAATGACAAAACATTTTAAATGCAATTCGACTGTGTACGGCGTTACTTGTATATGTATATTGAGAGAAAAAATACTTGAAATAATAATAAAAATAATAAAAATAATAATAAAAATATTTGAAAAAATAAAAAACATTTATGCACAGCGGGTACTAATAACATACTTATTTATCGTAATACACGTATATTTTAAGTAGATTTTAAAAAAATGAAATTCTCAGTTTATTTATATGTATGTATGTTTGTTTGTATGTTTTCTCATAACTTGAGAACCCTTAAAGATATTCAGAGGACATTTTTTCTTAGTTTATTCAGTATGCTATTTATATAGTTTATAGATTAGTGTCATTATCCGAATTTGTCCGAGTGATCTGGAAATTGGATAATTCCATTACCTTCTTGAAAATCCGAGAACATCTACACGGGAAAAATGTATTAATCGTAGTAAAAATGACAACAAAATTTCTATAATCTTGAAACATATAGAATTATGAATAAAAAGTTATTATGAATTTACATAAAAAGTTATTATGAAATTATTATATATTTGTTTAAAAATATTATGCATATTTAACTTTTCACTATAAAATTATTGTAATTATTTGAATATTTTTTACATCGTATATATCAGATAAATTATCGAATTTTCACTATTTCTATAATAATTTATATCCCAATAAACATGTTCCCCGGATAACCAAATCTCACGGGGTTATAAGTTAAATAGTAACTAACTATATAATTATAGGAAGATAGAAAAAGAATAATAAAATAATAATAAAAAAAAATATATTATTATTAAATCAGTCAGTCAAGTTTCGTGCCAACTTTTAATATTGTTAAAATATTAAAATATAGTTGTAAATATATAGGAATATAGAGTCAAAATTATATTTCATATTTTTATAGCGCTTTCGAGGTTTAGGAAAGCGGTTTGTTCTTAAAAAAGCTTTTAATTATCGAGAAATTTTTGCTTTTAAATAAGAAAATACATATTTCCTTAGAAGCTTTGTCTATGAAAATTGTTTATTAAATTTAAATAAAAGTATTTAAATTTAAGTAGATACGTTATTAATACTTACTGAGAGCAAATATATTTTTATTTTTTAGATATTTTTCTCTCAATGTATATATGTTTATCAATATGACAATTTTAAGACAATTCTACATCCTACAAATTCTAATATTAAAAGATATGGATTTGTAATGGATACTTTATATAATGATGAAAGACATATATAGTATATGAAATAGATTTCTCTTTCGGATTAAAAAGAGAGACGTGACATACTAGATACTGACTTTCTATCGATGTGCGAAAAATATAATTAATCATCCGCTTTATACTTACGTAGTCGTGCCATCGCGTCGTCAGAGAAACCCCTCGTTTGATTCTCTTCATCGGGGATGAAATAATCGATATTCATGCAGTGCGTCTCCACGGGGCTCAAATAAGTCTCGACTGCAATTACATAATACATAATTGAGACACGAATATAAGAACGCCTTTGGGAAATATTTTATAAAAAGGCGCATTACATTCGCCTCCAATCATTATAAACGACGTTCTCATTTTTCCGACCGCAAAACACGCGAGTTAACGTTCGTCTAACGACTGATTACGACATTCGGAATTGAGGTGCGTTATATTCCAGGCGAGATTAATGCGGGATCTCGGTGGACCGCGAAATCACGTATCGTATCACCAAAGATGACAACGATACGGTCTAGAGTACCCCTATCGGAGAAACTCGTGTCGCGCTAAAGAGGCTCAACTGCGAGCATAATGTCTCCTAATAAATCATGTGCGCAGTGAACGAAACGTAAGACGGACATTCCACTCGACTGGAGCTCGCGTCTCGTGAAATTTTTTCCCTGAAGAGCAGCGTCGTGCCAACGAGACAATTTCTCTCACGTCTCACTGAACATATGTCACAGACAGTCCAAACTGATCGTCTCATGATGCTCGCATACACACATCTCTCTTGTGCTTTCAAATTATAATTATGTAAGTATTCATGTACCACGCAAGACTATATTCCATGTTCATGCAATCGTTGCCTAAACAGAAAAAGAGTCATTCTATTGCTAAGGAAAACAATTACTCAGTTTACTTTCTTTCGTTTAGTAATGGTTATCTTCAGCAAAAAATATTTTTTTGACAATAGTCTTGAAATATACTCATCACGAATTATTATAAGGAAAGGTGATTATCATAAGGTTATTATCATATATTCAAAAGAATTTATTTTTTTGCAAGAATATACTATAAAACTTTTTCGAAGAAAAAGTTCAGTTTTATGTAGTAAGCTAATTGAATTTTTATTTTAATGCAATATATTCCTGATTGAAATGCTAAATTTATTAGAAGATTCAGAGTATATTTTGAATAAAATATTTGATATTTGATACGTATGAAATTTTATACTTATGATGAACTTTTGATAGGGATTTGCGGATACATAAACTTATAAAATACTTGAAATTAGTAATATTTATATGAACGCAATATATATTTTTCTACATGTATATATGCAGTGGATTGCAGAATGATTTTGACACCATAAAGTTGGGGCTCACTAGACTGTCAAAATTGGGAATAATTGCGATCATTGCTTACGCAATAATAATATAATTAAAAATATTAAATAGTAATAATAATTAATAATAATAGATTTCGTTAAATAGCGTGTATATAGATGCTTGATTAACGTGATGCTTGAATTCGAAATAATTTTGATGTATTGAGTTAAGTATGGGGGGTTAAATAGGGAAAATTATATGGAGATGAGTGCGTAGATAGTATGTAAGTGAAGGCGAAATAAGACGTTAGATAGGAAAACAAGATTCAGGGCGGAAAAATGTATAGGTAATAGAGGTTATGGCGTCATAAGGAACACGCGAGTAGTTAGGATAGTGAAGATAATGCAGGCAAGCTTAAATTAATATGGTAATGTAGAGGATATTATCGATAGAGGAAATGTTTAATAGGTGGTAATAAAAGACAAAAGTATATAAAAACGGGGAGGGGGAAGAAGAGGATGCAAGAAATGAAGAGGAAAGGATGGATGATCGGATGGAATAAGAAAGCAAAATAAAGATATACGGAAGAAAGGTGACAGAAAGACTGGTGGACAGTTGTTGTGTAAGTAATAAGGAGATTGAAATGCAAAGATTATAGAATATGGAAAACTCTTTCTTAGCGATATAAGCGGAGAAATCATTTCATGAAGTTAGTAGGAAGTATAGAGTGGAGTATATAATAAAAAGATATGGAAGAAAATTGGGAGAAAAGAAGATGAGAGAGAAATAAGAAAAGCAGAGAAGAGATCGGATAGGAAGAGGAAAGAAAAAGGGATAAGGGTGTATACAGCTGAAGGAAAGGACAGAATTCGGAATATTATGCATGAAGACGATATATAGTACGCGTTAAGTGAAATAAGAAGGTATAATTAGACATGATAGATAGGGAAAAGTTATAGGTAGCATAAAGATTAAATGAAGATTAAGATTGTGAAACGAGATTACAAAGGGCATTTAGATAACGAGAATGATATTGTAAAGTCAATTAGAATGAAGCAATATAACTATAGAGATAACTAAATAGGTAAAAATAAGGAATGGATGTACGTGGTTAAGGAATATCATTGTAAACCAAATCACCTTCTTAGCTATGTAATCTGAAGAACAATATATTGATATCGATAATTAATGGTAATATTGATATCGATAATAATGGTAATTATTATATTTTATTACTGAACAAATCCGTTAGTAATGACTCAATTCTGACAGTTTGGTCAGTTTCCAACTTCGTGTCTAAACAATTTTGCAGTCCACTCTGCACTCGAGTCGGGTGCGAAAATCCTTGAAGATGCATCCGCTGCATATATCCTCGGGATCGTATTACACCGCGGAGAATACCGCCGAGATTTATCAGTACTGCCAGATCCCACAGCCCCGCGACGTCAACGAGCGTGCGTCTCGAAAAGCATGCGACCCAGAATGCAGCGGGCACTATCACCGGGCGCAAAGTGCGCAAGTATGCTTTTACCTGTCTCGTAGCTGCAGGCTCGCACTGTGCGCGCCCGTGCTCGCTCTTTCGTCTTTTGCAACGGTACTTTTTTAGCGAGTCCTAATCCACGAAATGCCACTTTCGAAAGGCATTACGCGCGAGGGAAAAAGTTGTCGTAAAGTAGCCGGTGCTTTCACGGCCACCTTCCGGTGAACGCGTGCCCGATGAACGAAAACGTGTATTCGCTACGTATGTCATCTCGAAACATCTCCGCTCAATTAGCCGCCCGAGCATTATAGTCGTTAATGAGATTCGAACGTGTCGCGTGTCGCGCAGTCAACTCTCGGTGAAATGAAATTTAGCTTCACGAGGATCCGAAATGAAAGCGGAGTTACGACAGTGGTTTTCGTTAATTAACATTCTTACATTCTAAGAGACAAGCGTTTTGTCGATTGTAAATTTTTGTTTTTACTTCACGCATGCTTCAGTTCTACTCCAGAAACAGTTCTACATTTGAAGAAACTGCTATAGCTAACGAGAGAAAACGAAACTTTTTTAAGTTAGTGCGAATTCTTTAAAGTAATTCTGCACATTTTAGGTCACGTCCCTAGCACAATTGTCCAAAGTCCCAGAGACGTTCCAGAGATGATATCTCTGGGACGTCTTTAGGATGCATTTCGGACATTTGTATTGTATGGGTTGTGATCAGTAAGATCTCGTTGTTTATTTTCTTCCTCTGAAACTTCACTTGCAAAGAGAATAACGTTTCTGCACGAGAAAATGTTGTATCAACAGCATCAGTTTGATTGAAATGAATTTTTTTTAATTCTCAATAACAGTATTATCGAAACAAATACACCATGATGTTTTAAAAGTGTATAGGAAGAGAATGCGTTGCATATAGTGTTTAAGAAATAGATGGCCGAGATTTAGTAATATAAAATATTGAGGAAGAATACTGTTTAATCAAGAGAAAAAATAGTTTAATTAAACATCGACCATCGGTTACCATAAACATTATTAGCTAAAAAAATGCTGTTAAAGGAACAAAAACATACGTTGATTTAATTAAACGTCGATGTCACGAGCTGCCACAAGTATATGCAGTTAATTCAACTGTGTGGTTGTCATAAATTTTAATTTTACTTTTTATTGCAAGAATAATATACCATCTTTAAGTCAATAATATATAAGTTTGTATTTTCAAAAAACAATAAATTGTAAGAAATGTTCTCACGACTTATTATGTTTTTAATACATGATATATTATTGGTTCGGTATTGCTCCTTCAATGAAAATCCTACAATTGAAATCAATAAAAAGAAAAAAAAAAAACAGTTAAACTAACTGCTTATATTTATGGCAACCCGTGCAATATTGACATTTAATTGAACCAATGCATTTCTTTATTCTTTTTGTGTGGTTAGCCCGTGTAAAACAGGCAGCCAATCGTCTCGTACGAAGTTATTACGCACAACGGTCCGAAGGGGACTTCCACGGAGGAAGCTCGGACTCGCAGCGAGCCTCCGTCCTGCGCGAAAAGTGCAACGTACCGTTTGAAGTATTTGAGATTCACGCGACGGACGATGGCGCGGCCGTTTCCTCGACCCTCTTCGAATCTAGTTTCGCCTAAACGAGGCGCCATGCCAAGATCGTTGACTCGCGCCTAACTGTACACGCGTTATTCCGGAAGAGGGACCCGCTCGCGTCGGCGGTGGCGAGCACGATCTCCTCGCGGCGGACCCTCCTCATGCTCTTCGTCGGGCGCTAAGCCACGACGCGAGCGATACCAGAAGATGGATAAAGCCACCGGACCGGTCGTTGTGACTGGTTTCTTCAAATTTTTCACGTATGCACTCGCGACGAGGCCCGGTCGTACGCCTGACCTCGATTTTCGGCGATGGCCACACTCGTCGCACTTGTTTGTAAGGGCATGCGATGAAATTCATTCACAAAAGTCGTACGCAATGCCATCCGGAGGATATCCGGCGGTTGTGTCCTTGAAAATCTCTGGACAATTGATCTATTTGGTTACGACGCTATTTATTTGTTATAACGATGCTTGTGTAACGATGAAGAATTACATATGAAATATCCTGGAAGTGCATATATCAGGATATATGCGAATATCTTTGGTATGTCTCCGACATATGTGCTAAGTTCTGTTACTTGTTTATGCGGCAAGTATTTGTGATGAGTACGACCTTTTTCAAAATTGTCTGAAAAATATACATACACAGAAAACAATACTGTTGAATCAACAGAATTGGTCAACAGCATCGTGATTGGCACAGAAGCGGATTTATATAGAAAGTAATGATGAGAAACATCAGCCGCCAATGAAAAAAAATGTCTCAATTCAATGTATAGGTAACAATATATTATTTTATTGATCGATTGTTATTCTCTGATATAAGACAACAAAAACAATGCATTAACATTACATA